CTCTCTCTCTCTCTCTCTCTCTCTCTCTCTCTCTCTCTCTTTTTTCTCTCTTCCTCACACTCTCTCTTTGTCTCTCTCTCTGTCTCTCTCTCTGTCTTTGTCTCTCTCTCTCTCTCTTTCTCTCTCTCTCTCTCTCTCTCTCTCTCTCTCTCTCTCTTTTTTCTCTCTTCCTCACACTCTCTCTTTGTCTCTCTCTCTGTCTCTCTCTCTGTCTTTGTCTCTCTCTCTCTCTCTTTCTCTCTCTCTCTCTCTCTCTCTCTCTCTCTCTCTCTCTCTTTCTATTCTCTCTCTGCCCGCATACAAAATTGCTCTTTTTCAACCCAGTTCTTAAAAGATTCACCTTTCAGCATAATCAAAATGCAGTTTAATGCTATGCCCAAGGCTTACGATTTTTCTGATTTTCATGATTCTTGATAGGAACAGCACAACAAAAAGAAAACCGCCACATTAGCTATTTCGTCTGCTAAAGAACACGCCACGACAGTTAGATTTGTCATTATGTGGAAAAGTTGCCACGACAAATAGATTTGTCGCCTGCTAAAGAAGTCTCAGCAGAGCTATGAGAAGTGTGACGGTTCCCACAAATGCAAGGCCAGCTCCGATATGCCTTAACTGTAGCCCGGACTCAACCCATCACTGTGGTGGTCTGTGGTTAAATCTGTCTTTCCCGAACCGTACTCTTTTTCCTTGGGGTTTTGTTCGGCAGCAAAACTTGAGAAATCCAACTCTCTGTTTTCTTTCTCAAGCTCTTGTATCTCCAGCTGATATGTCTCCTCCTTCTTCTTTCTATCCTCTTCCTCCCCCTCCTCCTTCTTTTTTCCAAGAATATTTTGATCTTGAGACGCACCCGTCCCACTCTGACTAGCGTTCGAGTCTCGGCTGTAATCTCTGCTTATCAACGCCGCGAACAGTACAGGATCTCGAAGATCCGGACTCGTAGTCAGAAGACTGTTCCCTCTGTGATACGCCCACTCTTCCTGACTCGCCAGCCTCAGGTTCTTGTCCGGCGACGCGAGAACGACTTGAGGGTACACGTACTTGCTCCCAAAGTGTCCACGGATCTGGATCTGAGAGAACACTGTGTTTGAGACAAAGGTCGACGACCCACACAATGACGGACCCTTGCTGTCTGCGCACTTGACCAGCGTACAGACCTGGATGTAGTACTTGCCCTGGTACGTGTGGAGACCGTCAAACACTCCAAACGCGAACAACTCCCCTCGCTTCGAGACATTCGTGTTGATGGAATAATGGAGCTCACAACAAGCGTCATTCTCGCATACTTTCACAAACCCTGCATCTTTATCTAGAGCTTTGAACGTGAAGTTGTCGTGAAATAACTCGGAATAGAAAACGGCATCGTCAGTGATTAGAGAGTCCAATTCGTTATCAACCCTGCTTTCCTTCCTAAAATACTTCAGAGGTTTCCTTAGCTTTGTCTCTATCCGGTTCTCTTCTACGAGCCAGTCAGGCGAACTTTTAAAGCTATTTCTCCGGCCGTTCAATATGTGCAGAGACCCAATGTTGTAGTGTGGGTCTGGTTTTGCCCTATCAAGAACTCTCAGATCAGCCACCATCAGTTTGGGAGGCGAAAACAACTTTTTGTTGTAATAGAAAGCTGCCTCACCTTTTGGCGAGTATATACCACTTCCATGAAACTTACTGAAAGGCAGGTGGAGATTAGCAGCTAGGACATTTACACCAAGACCTCGCGCAAAAGAGGAATGGAACCCAATCGCGCTGAGAAGGGGCATAGCGTCCATCCAGGCAGTGGGATAGGCAACGTTTGTGATGTTATATTTCTCGTACAGGGTGATGGCTGGCTCTTGGAAGATGATGTCGAAGCAGATGAAGAGGCCGAACCTCCCGAAGGTGGTGTCAAAGTAGATGGGCTCGGGGTCAGCTGCGTTGAACTGGTCCTCGAAGAAAAGGTTGACTTTGTGGTAGCGCGCCACGAGGTGTCCCTCTGGACCGAACGCCACAGCAGTGTTGTACTGGTACCTGTGTGGGTGTGTGTGTGTGTGGGGGG